GTTTCTTGCCTTAAGAGTTGATTCCACAAAATCCAATCACTTGTTAATGCATCCCACCAATTTCTTAGTTGTTTATAAACATATTTCTTGTTTGTTCCTTCATTAATTTTTTTTCCACATTTTTTCACCTTAATTTATTAAAAGTATTACTAGGACAATTATCGACATTGACCTCTTCCACACATATCTCGCAGAAAATTTTTGTTGTCAATGAATCCCACTGTGCCTTTGACCTTTTTTCAGCCATCTTATATATTGAAATAATTTTGGCCTTAAAACAAGATCTACAAACACATAGGCACAAATGTTGAATAATGGAAGTATGGATACACATAATAACACCAAAAATAGAATGCTAAAACTAGGAAGAATTATCAAATAATACATATTGATGTCATCATCTCGACAATCACTTTCGGCACAAATGCAAATAAATATTCATTATAATAAAAACAATAAAGCAAGCCAAGCAAGACATTAAAACAGCCACACCAACCAAAAATAAGGCAATCTACATATAAAATTACTAAGTTCAAATACATCCTTCAATGCAAAAAGATTGTACATCTTAAAAATGCACCTAACTCATGAATGTTTATATAAATGTAGACCGTTACTACAGCAAAGTAGTGTTATACAGAGAAACAAGGCAGGGAGACTTTGAAAAGCCTAAGGTTAAAAATGCATTCCAATTTACCAAAGATTCCAAGCCATCTATAGCTCTATATTTCCTCTCCCTTTATAAGGCAAGGTGGAATTATCCTCCAAATTATGAAGTTTTCATGCTAACAAAAAACAGAGCCACAAGATTCCAGAACATAAATATAAAAAAACAGAGCACTATTGCAATTGAAATAATTAGGCGCCAAAAAAATCATGATTTACAAAATCAGGGACACACCACAACTAGCAGCCACACTGCATTCTTCTAAGCAAAATTATGGAGAGCTTAAGAAATTAAGCATAGATTCTCCAATAAAAAATCATGATTTACAAATTATTTATTAGAAACTTATTATCCAAAAATAGAAACAACAAATTAAAAACAAAAGAAAAATGCAGAAAAACAGAAGAAAAATGCGAAAATGCAGAGTATAGGACACAAATTCTTTTGACATGAGGAATTAGAAGAAGAAACAATAATAATCAATAAAAAATCTTCAAACAATCTTCAATCAAAAAGAAAAGAAGAGGGAGCAATGGGAGCTACTAGTGGCTTGGTAGATCTGGTAGCAATGGATCCTCAAGCTCGTTGTGGTTTCATGGTAACTAACAACAATTAGGGATTTTCGGGGAGAAGATGAGGATTATCGCGGTGGTCTGGGCGGTCCTCGACTATTGTTGTGTGGCCTGGATTTGCAAGAAGACAAGGAACGATAAAGGATTTTGAGTTAAAACTTTACCAACTCACACTACCAACCAACAATCATCATTCATCACCACCAAATTAGTAGCAGAAACACCAAAAAAGGAAAAAAAAATCAGAGAAAAGGAAGGAGACTCACAGAAGAAGGAGGAGAAATGGGATTTTGGCACTAACTGACAATAGGGATTTTCTGGTGAGGAGAAATGGGCTTTTCTGCTTTGAAGCAGTTAGGGAGAAAGAAGATCGATGATTGACGGTTGGGATTTTTTGGTCTGCTTTGGAAGAAGATGAGCAAGGAGGTAGGGAGAAGAAACACAGGATCGACTACTTTAGAAAGAAAGAAAGAAAGAAAGAAATGGGAGTTATAAAATGAACCTCATATATCTGGTTTTTTTGTAAATAAAAAGAAGTGTGAGGATAAAATGGGAATACCATGTCAATTTCATTAATCATGAAGTGATAAGCTCCTGTGGAAGCACAAAATTGGTGCTTCCAGGATTTGCAAAGGAACGGGGAGAAGACCAACTTCTGGGAAGTTGCAGCACATTTGAGAAGTTGTGGTGTTTGGTGCAGCTTGTGCTTTTAGAACCAAAAAGCTCTTCCCACAATCTGCAGCAAACAAGCTCTAAAAGTTTCATTTTTTCTAAAATATGTCTTTTGCTAAATTCCAAAACACCACCTCATTTTTGTACTCTTAAAAAGCTATATCGTACCATCATCATCTTTTCCAAAGCCTTTGGTATTACACAAACTTGCTTTTCTTGCAGTTTTATTGTCATACAGCAATAGCAAAACAAGACAAAAGAGTTTGGGTGATTTACTTGGTCTACATCAGTTTCTCAAGCAAATATGGTAGTGTATCTTTAGATCTGCTATTTTCTAAATATATTACTTACATTTTGGTAACAAGCCTTACTCCCAGTTATCTTGTTTTTGACTATTGAACAATTTTACATGATATAAGATTTTGGGTAAGCATTAAATGGAGTTAGGAAAGCATGTAATCATGGTTATAAGGAAAGTTTAAGTATTTATTATTAATTGCAAGTCAGAATTTTGTGTTTCATATACATCTTGTATCCAAATTAGGTTGTTTTTTTTTTTTTTTTTGAAAGAATGCCTCACATGTGTATATATATATTGAATATGGATACATTTTATCACTAACATGTATTTTTAAATTTATGACACATTAATTTAGGAGTAACCACAGCATCCTAAGGACTTGAAATTACTAAAGAAATAGTTTATAAAATTTTTACTTAACCCCATAGGGAGATAATTGTTTTATAAGCAAATAATTATAGCGGTAGTAACTAAAGTTTTAAATTCAATTTCCTAATCCCATGGTATGAACATTTCTAGATTTACTACTACTCTCATTATTTCAAGTTTTGTAAATTCTATGCTAGTTGCACTTATGCCCATAGGAAAGTTAAGAATTTACAATTAAAGAAATTATTTTGTAGAAATAGATATGATTGTATCCATTTCATTTTGTAGCAATTCCTAAGTCTTTAGCTAAGGACATCCCAATACTTTCTAGTGACAATTTTGTTGATTGGAAAGAGAAAATCCTTTTTGTTTCTTGGTTGTGTGGACCTTGACTTGGCACTTCGGGTGGATGCACCTCGTTCTCACAAATTTAAGTACTCCAAATGAGAAATCTGAACATGAAAAGTGGAAGTGATCCAATTGTTTAAGCCTAATACTTATGAAATCTTCTGTGAGCAAAAGTATTAGGGGTTCTATTCCTGCAATGGATAAGATCAAGGATTTCTTGAAAGCTATTGAGGAACAATTTGGCAAATTTGACAAGGCTCTTGCCAATACTCTTATGAAGAAACTCTCTAGCATGAAGTTTGACCATTCTAAGGTTGTGCGTGAGCACATAATGGAAATGAGAGACATTGCTGCCAAGCTAGATTCCTTCTTGTTGCACTTTGTGCTAAATTCCCTTCCTCTTGAGTTTGGCCCCTTTAAGATTTTCTATAACACACATAAGGATAACTAGTCAGTGAATGAACTTTGGACCATGTGTGTTCAAGAGGAAGAAAGATTGAAACATGAGAAACTTGATGAAAAGCAAGAGGCTGCTCATCTTGTGAGTCAATCAAAGGGAGAAACTCTAAAGGGAGGTTGGAAAAGGTTTAACAATACCTATAAGGGAAAGAAGAAGATTGGAAAGAAGCCATTAAAGCTTTATTTTGATAAGGATACTTGCTTCTTCTGTAAGAAAAAAGGACATATGAAGAATGATTATGCCAACTACAAAAATTGGTTGAAAAAGAAAGGCACTTTATTGTCTGTAGTGTGTCATGATTCTTTTCTTATTGATGTTCCTGATAATACTTGGTGGATTGATTCTAGATCTACAATTTACATTGCTAATACTATGTAGGGCTTTCTGAACCTAAGGATGTTGAAGGAAAGTGAACAAGGCATCTATTTAGGCAATTGGATGCATTCACAAGTTGAAGGCATAGGGACCTTTAGACTTATTTTGAATAATGGTTTTGTCTTAGATTTGCAAGACACTTTTATGTTCCATCTTTTTCTAGGAATTTGGTTTCAATTTCTAAACTTTCAAACAGTGGTTTTAGCTTTATTTTTTTAGACTCTATGTTTAAAGTTCTTTATAATAAAAATGTTGTTGCTTCTGGAAGTTTAATAAATGGTTTGTACAAATTTGATTTGGATTCCATGCACATGCAAAGTTATTTTACTTTGCATGAGAAAAGTGTTGGCATTAAGCGAAGTATTATCAATGAGAAATCTTCCAACTTATGGCATAGGAGATTAGGTCACATCTCCATTCAAAGAATTAAAAGATAAGTAAATGATGAGGTTTTAAATACTCTTGATTTTATTGATTTTGGGACTTGTTTAAATTGTATAAAAGGTAAACATACCAATAAGCCCAATAAGGTGCCAAAAGAAGTACTGAAGTTTTAGAGATCATACACACTGATATCTGTGGACCATTTTCTACTCCTTGTTTTAATGGTAAAAAATACTTTATAACATTTATAGATGACCATACAAGGTTTATGTACCTCTACTTTTTATATGACAAAGCTAAAGCTTTGGATGCTTTTAAAACATATAAAATGAAGGTAGAAAATAGAAGGAAAAGAAGATTAAAATTGTAAGGTCTAATAAAGGAAGGGAGTGCTATAGAAGATACACAGAAAGGGGACAAAGGGCAAGTCCATTTGCTAAGTTGTTAACAGAAGAAGGTATTGTAGCTTGGTGTACAATGCTTGGAACACCTCAACAACATGGAGTTGCAGAAAGAAAGAAGGAATAGGACACTTATGGATATGGTAAGAAGCATGATTAGTCATATGCCTCTATCTCTTTGGAGTGAAGCTGTCACGCCCCAAAACCCAAATCTGAGGCGCGACAGACGCCGTGCACTCGTGAGACGGGTCCCACAAACGCACAAGGCTCGGAACTTATCATACTGTACTCTGATACCACCAAAATCTGAAGATCAAATCTTTAAAATTTTCTCTCATATCATAAAATCTCCAATACACTCTAGTTTACAAGATCATGATTTATTTCTAAAAATCTATATCAATCTCGAAATGGCTAGCCTTTTAACTCGTCACTTCCCGTGGTTTCCCCGTCCTCAGTTTCGCTTCCTGAAATGGTGGACAAGGAAAAACTATGAGATAAACTCAGTAAGTAAAATATGGAGTGCCCTTATTAAACTTATAGCATGCCAACAAGTACAATCACGAAAAATGGATACAGTGCGGGAACGAAATAGACGTCTCCTCTATAGGTCATGACCAGTGTTTAAACCTCCCACTGGCAGGCAATAGGAATTACTAGTGTTTAACTCCTACTAACAGGATTACAGGAATGAACCGGTTCTAACAGGGACATATCGACATGTGCCGACATGTGCTAGCGTTTAACCCCCACTAGCAGGGTTACAAGAACATAACCACATCGGAGACAAAACAGGCCAAAGTTAACAGAAAAACATAATTTACCAATCACTTTCACATCATCAGGACAATCATTAAATTTCAAGTAGGCATGCTTAATTTAATGAAAAGCATAAGACCTTTCACTTCAAATCAGTCATGCTCGTGTAAAACGGGTTTAGTCCCGCCACCACTTCAAAAACAAATCAAAACATGCTTTTAAAAACAGTACAGGCATTACCATAAATTTACTTATCTCACTCGTATAAAACCGAGCACTCAATTTCAATGCTAACTGACAAAACGATCAAGAACCTAATGAAGATACCCAATAATTAATTATCGCACTATCATAAATTCAAACTGAAATCATCATTAAGACTCCTTAATCACGATACTAATTACTATCAATCTCCACATAATCAAATATCTCCAAATTCGTTCTTCTATCACCAACTAATCATTTAAATCCCCGTTAATTGTTGGCCCTCGGTGTGTAAACAGTGTCGGTTAACAGTACCCGTGAATAGTACCCCCGACGTGAACAGTAACTCCACTTCCACAAATTGGCCAAAACACTAGCTAATCTCACGAGATTTTCTCCAAAAATCACAACAACCAACTAACACTCAATCACATAAATCTCACTTGAATTAAGCAACAAAACACACTTAAATCCCTTTTAATTGCTACCGGAATTTCCCCATTTCCTAGCCAAATTCGGACATCACAAGCAGCAACTTTAAATGGATAATTTAAGCCTTAAAAGGCTGTCACATACCATAATTCTCCAGCTGTAGAAACCGGAGCTGTAGGGGGAGAGAAGCCGGCGGCAAGTGCAGGGGAAGCTCACAGGAACTACCCAAAATTGAAGGAAATAAGAGCAATCAAAGTTAACCCAAGCCAATTCAAGCAAGAACAAAGGAAATTAGGGGCTGTTCTTACCGAAAAAATGCCCAGAAATCACCCATA